TGGTCCCAAAAACTCCATAAAGATTCCCCCCCTCTGGTATAAGCGACCTCTCATTCAGATCTGTAAACACCTCTCATATCAATGTACTTGCGTCCACAGACAAGATCTGGCTTTAGCCTCTCTTTCCCGGTGCTCACGCCATGCTGGTAATTTGTCTCTGGAGCAAACCTTCCCCAGTCCCTACCCACAGCCGGGCAAACCTCCCTGCAATCCCTTCCCCCACTCCTCCCCTCATCTGGGAGGCCCTGTACGGCAGGGCCCTGGCCAGCCTGGGGCCCCATTGGGGCTGGGTGAGATGGCCCCAATAGGCCCCGATAGCCGGCCAGGCCTAAGGACCCCATCCGTGCACGAATTTTGTGCACTGGGCCTCTAGTATATAGATAACATTCCTGAGTTCCTGCATGGTTTCCTAGCCAAGGCCATGATTGGGATTCCTGGGGATAGGTTAGCAGCAGTGTCCAAAATCTAAGCCTTAGGCTTTAATGAGTATCTTTGCTTAGATTTCCTAGATGCTAAGCGTATCCAAAGTTCTTTAAATTAAAATCGACATTTTTCTTTCAAGTGATCAGTGTTAACAGTCCCAAACATTAGGTTCTTCATAAGTTTTATTCAAGCAGCAATACATTTAGGAACAGAAGATTATAACTTCTTGATTAAAAAAATTAAATACTTATTAAATAAATGAGACTGCCCCCCAACCGTGAACATTTATTTTTGATTGTAGAGCTTGAATTATGTCTTGCAATAACACTTTTCCTTTGGTCATCACTTGGTTATAAAAATACTCGTCCCAACTCAAACATTACCTTAGGGTGAAAAAAAAGCGAGAGTTAATTTCATGGCAAATTACTGGTACAAGCTAAGATGACTCTTCCAAGGTGGTGATTAATGAAGAATTCTGAAGAAAGAGTAAATACGTGTCTTCCCCCTGTGGCAGATCAGCTCTGCGGGTCAGGCACTTGCTGTGGGCTTTACATTGTACATTTATAGCCAGAACTTTCTCTAAATGCCATATTTTAAAATGTAGTACTTTTAAAAAAATCAGACTGCATTTATAAAATATTACCATAGCCACCTGAAACTTAACCTCACTTCCAAATAGACTTAGTAATTGGAACAAAGTCATGTTCTTTCTCCCTAGCATTTTCTATGCCAACTTCTCATTTTCATGAAAAGGTGACTTACCTCTATGGTGATGAGGATGACTATCATCCACTCCAGGCGGAGTGCCCTCTTCTCTGTCAGGTGATTCCGCATTAGATCTGTCAGCTCCATGCAGTGCTGAAGTTTTTCATTCATGACCTGCATTAGAAAAATAGTAAAAAAATTAAAAATAGGGACATAAAAAGTATCCTGTACTTCAACACATTTAATTCAGCAAATAAGTAACATGGTCACATGCTTCAAAATTGTACAGGTTTGAAATAGGTATACAGTGGGGCCTTGACTTACGAGTGTCCCGACTAACGAGTTTTTCGAGATATGAGCAGTCTCTCGGCCAATTTTTTGCTTTGAGTTGCAAGCTAAAATTCGGGTTACGAGCCAGCTTCAGATACCCCACCGCTAGTTGGCGCAGCGAACGTCACAGTGAACGCCACATCAGCCCAGCATCATGTGTCTCACTCGTTCACTTTAAGATTTGACATACGAGTAATCTGAGTTACGAGCTCCATCACGGAACGAATTAAACTCGTAAGTCAAGGCCCCATTGTACAGTGAAAAAGCATCCTTTCAATTCTCACTCCTCAGTTCTCTCCCTGAAGGCAACCTGCCAATATTCCCTGTCTCATGCATCCGTCTAGAGCAGTGGTTCTCAACCTTGGCTGCACATTAGAATCACCTGGGAATCTTTCTGAGTCCTAGTTTTTTGGTGGCTGCCCGTGGATTTTAGCAGTTATGAAAGGCAAACGTGAAACATGGTTCATTCAGCATGGCCTTAAGATGACAGAAACAATGATTAACCTACCTTATACTACAATTCACTGTCAAATCCCACAAACACTAACACGACCTGCTGCACACTCACCACTAGATGGTACTGCTTTTAGCGCTGAACTGCAGAGGTTCTGCCTGCTGATGCCTTCCTCAGGTTGGTTGAGGGGGGTTCATGGAATACAGAATCTTTGAATTTGAGACTTGAATGTGACCACTGGCAAGTTATGCCTCCTAAATCTCTCTGTAGCTCACTTTCTTTTGGAAATTGTCAAGTCTGGAAACATTTTAAAAAATAGTTTGATTCCCCTTGATTACTTATGGGGTGTGCTGAAGATGCAGGTTTGGTCAGTGGAGATTTGAGACAAGTTACAGATGCATGTTCGGGGTTTGACTGAAATGTGTTATGTGCTGTATAATAATAAAAGTGTAATATGCTAATTAGACTGGCCGTCCATCCTTCCGGACAAAGCCACAGTGGGCGGGGCTGAGGCAGAGGCCCCTGGCCTCGGTGGCGGGCAGTGGCCGGGGCCAAGGTCCTTGCATGAATTTCGTACATTGGGCCTCTAGTAAAACCATAATATGGTGCACTAACATAGACAGCCTTACTAATGAGACCGGGCACACGGAACCACACTGGTAGCAGGTTTCCGGACATTATGGTCACCTTGTATCTCTTATGTATAAATGGACAGGACAATGCTTCTCTTTTTCCTTCCTCCCTCCCTCCCTTCCTCTTCCTAGTTTTGCTGGCTGCTTGGTCTTGGTTTATATCATGCAGTTCATCCAAGCTTACTTCTCTCTTCAAAATACTGACCCAACTCTCCATTTTCTTTCAACTTTGACTAAGGAACCTACATTTTCTTCCTCTACCTCCTCATCCTCCAACTTATTCCTTCAGCTTTAGAAATTGTATATATTACCACCACTCCCCTGAAACTTCCAAGCCCCTAATACGAAACCTAACAACTTTTGGTTAGATTCTAAGCCTCAGTTGACTCAAGCATTTGACCACACTTTGAAATGGATGTTTCCTTTGCTTTCCCTTCCCTAAGAACTAAGGTCTACCTCTGACCGCCATTCTTTTTCTGTGTCTTCTCTACCTCATCTTGCCTTTGAGTGACATTTCCCAAAGGCCTGATCGTGTCCTTGTCCTCCAGCTCTCTACTCTGTGATCTGACCTATTCTGGTTTGTGTAGACACTTCCTAAACGTCAGTCATTTCTGTCCTACCATCACTACTTCTGTGATACGTTTGCCAAGTATACTATTAAATTCCAGAAGACTGTACATAGAAATGTTTAAAAACCAGTACCATCAATGGAAAACCAGTGCTACGGGAAATAGTGCTTGTTGTCTACACAAAACTGAGTCTGACACCTGTTAAGACGAGATATGAGCATCCAATAGAGGACCATTCAAGACCCACTAACACCAAACAAAGCCTTTCTCCTCGACAGTAAGTGGAAGTGTTACTTGCTTCAGTGTTATCTCAGGGTCCATGTGTCACCTACGTTAATTTGTTGTACAAGTGTATGTATCACCCATTTTGGGAAAGACTAATAGAAATTACTATTTTATTTTTTCTTAAATTTCTCTTTTTTATTGAATTTATTTGGGTGCCACTGGTTAGAACTACTATTTTCTTTTTTTAAAAAATATATTTTTATTGATTTCAGAGCAGAAAGGAGAGGGAGAAAGAGATAGAAACATCAATGATGAGAGAATCATTGATAGGCTGCCTCCTGCACACCCCCTACTGGGGATGGAGCCTGCAAAACCTGGGCCCATGCCCTTGATTGGAATCGAACCTGGGACCTTTCAGTCCGCAGGCCGACACTCTATCTACTGAGCCAAACGGGCCAGGGCAGAACCATTTTCTGATAACTCTCAGATATAAATGCTTATTCCTGATTTCTCTGAATTTCTGACTGCCTATAAAACATCTTTTGGGTTTCCTGCCAGCACCTCAAAATTTAGCATTTCTCAAACTCACATTGACCTACTGTTCAAGGCTACCCTCTTGCGTTCCCTATCTCAAATCAGGTCACTATCTTCTCAGTTACCCAGGACAGAAACCTTTAATCTTTAATCCCCACTCCCTACAGTTATCTGGGGCTCTAAGAGGCGCCAATCTGTCCTGCATACCATGTCTTAATACTGGTAGACCTCCAGGGGGTTTCCTTTCTGTTACAGTGGTTTCAACTTCTCATTCCAAACAGGTTAGATCATGTCAGTCCCCTGCTCAAGACTTTAAACCTCTACCATTGCCTTCATAACATCAAACAATTCTGGATCATTTAGTCCAATCACACTTTAGATGATGGCTTTCCCCTTCAACCTTGAAGGCACAGCTTTGTGACACCTCTCCAACCTTCTTCCCCTCGGTGCTCCGATGGCACTTCATTCTGCCTCAGTTATGTTGTCTGCCCAGTGCCCTTCCCTCCTGCCCCCCTTCTTTCAGGGAGTTACCATATGATGCTGATCATGGTATCAGCCACCTGAAACCCTCCCGAGGAGCCAGAGGTAGACGGGGTAGGTACAGACCCGGGCTCAGACACATGTCCCGATCCTTTGAAGTTGCCAGGCAGAGTGAAATGTCAGTTCGGATATCCCCTCTCCCCATACCCCATTGTCCCATCTCACAGAGAATGCCGCTGAGAAGGAAAGAATGAGGCCAAACTGGTACAGAGTCTGCTGAGGAGGGAAGCAGTCCTGACGACCTGTTTGGGTCTGTGCAGCAGACAGTCCCCATTCCAAACTCAGCCCTGCTCTGTTGTGTGAGCCGGTACAGCTTATCTTAAATTTACATTCTCACCTCCTCCTCCGCACCTCTCTGTTTTCCCATTTTTCTACCCAGCGCTCACAGACAAACATCAGTCATCCTTACTCTTTCCTCTCCCTGGCCTTCCATGACCAAGGACTTGATTTGCTTAGAGGATTTTCTAAGAATGCATCTCTATTCTCGCCGTCACTATTACAGTTCCAGACCCCATGAAAATTGTTTGAAACTTGATGAGAACTTCCTTATGGGCCACTAGGTCTCCAAACTCTCACCAATCTTATCTAGTCTGCAGAGCAAAGATCAGAATATGCTTGTACACAAAGAGTTGAAAATTATAGACAGAAAAGGGGAAAGGGGAAATCTAGAGATCTGAACAGAAGTCAAATATTTCTCCAAAAGCAATTAAATACAGTTTCCTAAAGTTTGTCTTCACATAGTTATGCAAATTATAGGCAACACTGTGTCTCCCGTAATAGTGCAAATACATACCTTAACTCTACGAGTAATGCTTAGGAACCGACAAGTTTTATCGTAAAGTTCTTCCAGGTTTTCTCTGTCCCAGTAGAAATCTGGAGTGATCAAGAAGTCTGAACTCAAGTTTATACGGTGTCTTAAAAAAAAGGAAAATCATAACTTTTTATTTTCTATCTTGAATTAAAAATCATGGTCTCTATTTTTTATACTTGGTGCTTTATTGACAATTGCTGATCTCTGTAATATTTCTGAGAAACAAATTTAAAAGAATTTTAAAAATCGCAAACTAATTCAATCTTTACTATTAGTATTATTTATGAAGTAATTTGAAAACAAAATGAAACTTTGTTTCTACTTTTTTTTTTATTAAAAAGTTTTACAGTATACCCAAACATATTTTTTTGTGTGGATAGGAATTAACATGGCTCAAAAGTAAAAAAGAAAAAGGTAAAGATCGACCACTCTTACTCTTCTTCTTATTACCAACTTTCTCTCTCCTATCCCCTACCCCCTACAGGTAAACACTGTTAGCTTTCCAGTGTATGTGTGTGTGAGAGACATTATCTCTTTCGTAATTTCTATCTATTTTTACATAAGAGGAGTAAGCTTACTTTTAAATGAAACCTAAGTTGTAGAAGTAACATATAAATAGCTCACTATAAAAAAGGAAAAACCTAGAGAAGAATTCAGAGAAAAAAAGTGGTTAAGGCCTCTTAACCCAACATACAACTCAAATACTTCAGGCCCTGCAAACATGTTGCTGTGTCCTTCCAGACCTTTTTCTGTGCATACACACATGCATGTGTGCACATGTACTAGTATGTGTGGTATGTACACATATCAAGATGAATATGGGTATTTATTTTTGTTGGTCTACACAAAGGCAATCATACCGTATGTAATTTGTGCATGTTTTTATCACAGACTGACTACATTCCTTTTAATAACACATGAGCACTTTTATTGTAAAGAGAAGAAAACTTTGGATAAGAACAGCAGGACTCTACAGAAACTATTCACAAACCTAAGCATATTTAGTCCTAACTTCTGAGTTTTGATACGATAATTGGCTATATCAAATTCTGCTTGCATTCCCAAGACAAGAGGAGGGGCTCTCTCTACTCCACCTCTTACAGAACTCAAGGCTTAGATCTGCTGTGGGTGCTCCTGGTAGATGCACCCTGAGTTAGGGTCCCTGAGCTATGAGAAATGCGTAGATGACGAAACAGGGACCACCGCTCTCCAGGCCGAGTATCTAAAGAGAATGTGGAAAATAATCTCAGGTCAACTGCTTACAATGAACTCTAGTCTTATCCCATACACCGGAGGGGATGAAACACTGAACAAGGTGGCCTATTGAAAACAACTCCCAAGAATCAAGATTTCTCTTCCGCAAAACGACAATAACAAATTGGAACTTTTTCACACACTTACTTAAAATGATGCATTACTATGTTTCATCAATTTTAAGATAGTTCTTCCCAATTTAACATCTCTGAAAATGGGAGGCATCTTTAAAACTGGTATGTTATCTTACAGGTGGCAGCTGTGACTTAAATGTCAATGCCTTAAACGATTTATTTCCCTTATGCTTTCCTTTTTATGTATGACCGAGAGAGAATGTGATAGAATTTACACCCAAATAAAACTAAAAGAGCTATTTCAGCAAGTGCAAGATCGAAGCTCTGTGATAAAAAAGCACTGTATCACAGCCCTGCCGGCCTGGCTCAGGAGTTGAGCATCAAGCTATGAACCAGGAAGTCACTTTATGATTCCTGATCAGGTGACATGCCCTGGTTGCAGGCTCAATCCCCAGTGTGGGGCGTGCAGAAGGCATCCAATCAATGATTCTCTCTCAACATTGATGTTTCTATCTCTCCTCCCTTCCTCTCTGAAATCAATAAAAATATATATTTTTTAAAAAGCACAGTATCATAGTTTTAAGTGGCAGCACCATCCCTCTCCTGGGGCATCTTATGTGTCTATCAATGAAATGTGGTATGTAGCTTGTCTGGAGCAATTAGATCTATTTAGCATTCTGATGCAGTGACGTATTTTTACTGAGAATTCCCATTATCCAAATGCTAGAAGGTATCTTCCTACCTTCAAAGAACATCACCTATGCTCTCATGTAGGTTTAATGTAGATTAACTCTGATCTCTTTTGCACATGTAGACTTTCTTCAGTTCAGTCCTACTACAGCCCACTGCTTCTCATGGGTAAGAATTCTCCATGCTTATAAAGAACGAAATGAAAACAGCTCCAAGTCCCATAAAGGTGCAAATGTTGACTCTTTACTGTAGAACTACAGGAATGTCTTCTTGAGATCATGAAATACGTGAAATATTTACTGGGAACATTTACCTGAGGGCAAAGAGTTCACCCATTTTCTGCATAACTTCTTCGTGAGATAGTTTCACTTTCCTCCCAGTTTTTAAAGCCTATTTGGGAGGGGAAAAAAAAACATACATACTTACACATATATCTGCATAAGTAAGAGGACCATAAAGCAAATTCTGAAGCATTATCCAACGTAAACGACATCTCTTGGATGACTGTTTCCCAATCATGTCACTCTAATAAAAAATACTTAATCTTATTAGGTAGAAATTTTATATTCCCCTTTTCATTTCCTTTCTTACCAGCATTTTCTATATTGTATGTTTCTAATCTTATTAAAAATTCAAGACCTTTGCCCTGACTGGTGTTTCTCAGTGGTTAGAGCATCGGCTCAAGCACCGAAAGGTCAAGGGTTCAATTCCTGATCAATACCTGGGTTTCAGGATCCCTCCCCGCCCCAGGGGCATAGTTGGGGTGCATGTAGCGGGCAACCATTCAATGTGTCTCTCTCACATCAGTGTTTCTCTCTCCCCACTCCTTTCCTTCCACTCTGAAAAGCAATGGAAAAATATCCTGTGAGGATTAACACAAAAAAAATTCAGGACCTCTTATCCCAAGTATAATTATTCTTTCACGGTAAAAAGATTAATTAAAGCAAGCCTTATTTTTAATGTATTTTCAAGTTTTGATATAACTTTATATGCATTTTTCATGCCACTATTTTTTTTCACAATTTAGCAAAATACCTTTTTTAATCAAGAAAAGTAGTCATAACTTCCTTCCTTAGAGAGAGGAAGCACTTCACTTTTTTTTTTCTTTAATGCAGTTACATTAAGAATACTGCAACATCAGAGGAAAGTAATTTGAATTTTACACTTGAAAAGTAAAAACAGCCTGGCCGGTATGTGTCAGTGGTTGAGTGTCAACCCATGAGCCAGGAGGTCATGGTTTGATTTCTGGTCAGGGCACATGCCCGGGTTGCAGGCTTGATCCCAGAGTGGGGCGTGCAGGAGGCAGCAGATCAATGATTCTCATTGATGTTTCTATCTCTGTCTCCCACTCCCTTCCTCTCTCTGAAATCAGTAAGAAAAGAAAAAGGAAATTAAAAATAAAACAAATATGAAGTTTCTTATTCATCATTTTATATGTAAGTGGGATTCTTTTTTTTCTTAAAGTATAGCTTTCCTAATGTTTATTATTATTTTATTGTACTCCTAAATATATGGGTATAGTGGAAAATTTGCATTTTTCCCAAATAGAAATCAATCCTTGAAAGCAAGCATAAAATTGCTATAATTACCTCTGGAATTGACTGAATAGATTCCACAAATTGATCCAGTGATGCTTCCCAAATAGCCAGTTTCACTGGGGAAAAATTTCACAATGGATCATTTCTTTATCATCACCTTCACATTTATACAGAATGCAGAAGGGCACAGTACCTTTCCTGCCACGTCAACAATACTCTAAGACAGTGATCGCCAACCGGTGGTCCACAGACCACTGGTGGTCCCTGAGGTCCGAAAGGTTGGCGAATGCTGCTCTAAGATGCAAATCTGCTAACAACTTGAAAGTGAAATTTAAGAACAGTTAATCATCATAAGGGACAGCACTAAAGTGGCAAAAGATAGAAGAAATGAAGTTGATTTCCAAGCCCTGCTGGCAGTCCAAAGCTACATTTAATAGAATTTCTGATTTTCTAAGATTGTAGCTTGAAAACCAGAGAGAATGAGCTACATCCTGGGACAAAGGGCGGCTGCATAGGTGGGACAGGGACAGGCTTCCCTGCCCCTCAATTCCTTGGGGCTGTGAGTACAGCTCAGAAGTGCCTGGGCCCCCCAGGTGGTGTGGAGAGGCCACAGTGCAGGCTGAGGGCAAACAAATTCTTAAGGAACTTCTCAGTTTCATCAGGTGCATGGACCTTTCAGAAAAACAGAGAGCCATGTGACCCTCCCCTTTCTGTGAAAAACGAGTGTATTTTTCTCCAGAGGCCTGTGCCAGTCACACAGGGCGGGGCTTTCCTGCCTGTGCTAGAGACAAGCTAACAATGATCGCCACACAGAGAGGAGAGGAAAACAGGTAATAACAACATAAAACGTTTTTGGAGGGGGTAAGCTTTATCCATACGATTAATAAGGAATGAGGAGCTTCAGCACAGATATTTATATTGTATTTTCTTTCTCTTGCAGAAAAAAAAGGAATGCTAAAGCTTTGCTGAGTATTCTATAAAAACATGTCCAAATCTTTACTAAATACTTCAACTTCCCTTGAGATGAAAACTATGCAGTGCTTCCTCGGATAAGTAGTATTAACTCACCTGAAAGGCAGAGAGCATTGGAGAAGGCGAATTTCTCTAGGATGGCGTCATCCACATCTAGCTCTGAATTTAACCTGATTTCTCCTCGGTGCAGTTTCGACTGCCCCCTGTGTAGAGGGAAACAAAATGTATCCTGTCCGTCTTAAAAAGCACTTAATTTTTTTCTTTTGAAAAAGTCACCTTAGAATCTTTCTAGAGGTCATTTTGGTAATTTGTATCAAGAGTCTTATAAATGTTCTTATACCCTTTGATTCAAGTAATTCCATGTCTCGAAATTCATTCTAAGAAAATAAAAGATGTGAAGATTTATGTACAAAAAACTTCATGGTCCAATGTTTAATAGTAAAAAATTAAGAAGAAATGTTCAACTTGAGAATGGTTTGTTTATAGTATCCCATAAAAAAGTTATAATGCATATCTTGGAAGGATATTTAATGGAAAGGAAAAATAATCACAATAAATTGTTAACTGAAAAAAATGTTGAATTAAAAGTATACAGTGTAATTTAAAATCACACTGATGTAGTGTGGGTGGGAGGAAGATGGCAGCTGTGAGAACTAAGGGGTCCTGGCCGGTGGCTCGGCTGGTTGCAGTGTCAGCCCGTGTATCAAAGGCTGCGGGTTGATATATTCCATCCCGGTAGGGGCGCGCACGGGAGGCAAAGGATGGATGTTTCCCTCTTTCTCTCTCCCTTCCTCTCTAAAATAATAATTAAAAACATATCCTCGGGCGAGGATTAAACAAGCAAAAAACTAAGTTGCACATGTAGAGACCTCAGGAAGGGACTGGGGAGATGGGCTAATGGAGGGGATGTGGGAACATAAACATCAGAAGCAAGTGGGAGAAGTATAGGGTGAATCTTCCCACCGGATGTGAGATGTTGAAGGACCCCAGGCCTCGCCACAGAGCTGAGGGAGGCAGCAGGCAGGAGTCACAGGCAGGGCCCACAAAACCACCACGCTGCTGGGCTGCTGGCTGGGTGAGGTGGTCTCACTGAATGAAACCAAATCACTGACGCTGAGGCCCAAAGAAGTAAGGACCTGACCCCTCCTTAGACTAACAGGTAGTGAGAATGAGGCCGGAGTGTGCGTGCGGGCGGGTGGGGGAGAGTACCCAGGAAGCAGCAGTTCGATCTGGAGGTAGAGGCACAAAAGGGGGTTCATGGTAACTAGGGCCACAAGGCCAAGTGCTTAATAATTACTAAGATTCCATCAGCTCCTCATTTTGTGGTGTCTCTTAGGTTCACATCCCACTTTCAACTACCGCGACCATGGGCCCAGGTCCTCACTCCCTGGTCAGGTGCCCTTGGGCAACACAGGAAGCCGGTTAATCACAATGACAGGGTTTCTGCCAGGATTCAATGAAATGATGCACGAAAAGTACGTAGACCAGTGTTGGCATAGGCAAGGGGTTCGTCTTTCCTGATCACTCCTCACTCGTACCCATCCAGGCTTTCAGTGTCTCTTCCTAATGGTCCTGAAGCTCTTCCTTTATGAGTATTCCACCAGACAAGTAACTCCCGGGGAAAAAGACCTTTCAACCTGGTTCCTACTGCCTTCTCTCTACCCCTAACATCTCTTCATTACTCCCACCCCCTGCCAAGACAGCCCATACATCCCCCCTGGGATAGTCTGTCAGGACCCATTTCTACAAGTGGTCCTCTTAGATCACTCCCTCATTACATCCTGTTAATGCCAAAAATGTATCAATAGGGAAAAATGGACTCAAGAGAAAACTACTAGAATAATCTGAGGGGTTCGTTCTGATGAAGGCATACTATTTTACTGATTTAGGCTGCTTACCATTTCGGGGTTAGGCTATCTGTTTGTTTTGATTTATGAGTAGCCCAAGAAGGTAAAAAAAGTAGTATTTATTATGCAGGGATGGGCAAAAGTAGGTTTACTTGTTGTGAGTACACAGAACAGAGCTTGTTCTTATATTATTAATTATTGTATTATTTTCCATACCAACAACTGTAGACCTACCTTTGCCCACCCTGTATTTTTAAGCTTTGCATTTGTACCAACAACTGTTTTCTTAACACTAGTCTACGAATTCATCTATCGTTTATCTCGGCTGCTTTTCCCTCGCTGTCCCAGGCGCGCTCCCCGTGAACTGGCGGAAGTCGCTCACTCTGTTTTTATGTAGTTGAGCTCTTCGTTCTCCCAGTGCACCAGCGCCGTCTCATAGGGCTGCACTTCGTGCTTCTCCAGGACCTGCATCACATGCTTCATCTGGAAGGAAAGGAAGATGAAGCTGAAATGACCCGGCTCCTTCCGTGCGAAGTGTGCGACGTTTTCATGACAGTGGATGGCATTTCTCCTGCTGTTCAGTTCATAAGGAAAAGGCAAATTCATTGTGACAGTAAACTCACCAGGAAGACATATTCATTTGTCTTTATATTTGGAAAACACAAAAGAGCATAAAGAAGAAAATAAAAATTATCATTATCCCACAACCCAAAGAAAACCACTAGTAAAATTACGGTTTGTATTCTTTAAATTTAACCTTTAAAAAATGTTAAGTAACAGACTTTAAAAAATTTAAACAGCACAGAGGTCCCAAAAGTGACAATCTCGCCCTGCTCTCCTAAACTCCTAATCCCCGAGAACCAGTCAACTCCGTGCACAGCCCGCCACTTTTTTCCCGTGTGTATATAGTACATTGACTTTGCTTTTTATAGGAAACTAGAGGCCCAGGGCACGAATTCGTGCACAGGTGGGGTCCCTCAGCCTGGCCAGGGATCCGGCCAGTCAGGGCCATCTCGCCCAGTCCCCATCGGGCCGATGGGGGCCGGCCAGCTGGGGAGGGGCTGTGGGAGGGCTCCAGGGCATGTCTGCCCCTCTCACCCAGTCGCGATCATCCAGACCCCAGCAGCAAGCTAACCTACCGGTCGGAGTATCTGCCCCCCCTGGTGGTCAGTGTGTGTCATAGCAACTGGTTGAGTGGTTAACCGAATGGTCGATTGATCGGTCGGACACTTAGCATTTTACGCTTTTATTATATAGGATGGGATCATAGTGCACATAGGAACGTTTTCATGCAGAAACTGCAGTCTGGTTAACTGTCCTAAATGTGCACCCATGGCGGGGGGAGTCCTCTCTCCACTAGGACGAAGTGCACATCTGTATGTGTGTATCTGCATGGCCTTGTGGGAATATTTCTTTAGGAATTGCTAGATCAAAGACATGTACAATTACAATTTTGATAAATTTTGCAAAACCGCTCTCCCAAATAGTTTTCCAATTTTAGAAAACATTTATGAGAGCATTCTTTAAAAACCCTGGTATTATCAGCCTTTTAGATCTTTGCCACTTCAAATAGCCAATCTGTATCATCTTTTTCTTGCTGGTCATTTATATTTCTCTTTCCTTCAGGAAACGCCCCCAGTTACCTCCGTGTGTGTGTGTGTGTGTGTGTGTGTGTGTGTGTGTGTGTTTACTCTTTGTAAAACTGGAATTATATGAGGTATACTTTTCTAACCAACTCTGCTATTATATTAGTTATAATTTGTAACCTGCTCTTTTAATTTAACTGTATTGTACACACATTTTCTACCACTTCCTAGGACTATTTTTTCCACGATTTTTAAGAGCTGTAGTATATTCTACATTTACTACAGTAGTAAACTCGTAAAATTTGTAGTATTTAATGAAATTCCTACTATCATGTATTTTGGTTATTTCTCCATTTTGCTATTGTAAACAATGTGTTGATGAACCTCATGTATCATCCACCATGCATAACTGCAACCATTTCCTTTGGATAACTTTCTAGATGTAAATCGCCGAGTTAGATACAAAGCTTTGATGTGTATGCTCAAACTGCCTCTAAAAAGGTTGTGTTAAACAAATCCTGACTGGGGTACTGGAGAAATTGTTTCCTGTGAGTGATAAAGTCCTAGAAAACTGGTCTAAAAATAAGACTCAGAGGACCAGCTCCCGTGAACTGTGTGTAACGTTATTCATTTTGTAGGTTACCATGTATGGAGTATACTTCCTTCTGACTGCAGTGTACCTAGGATTGTTTTGATTCTCCCAAAATTAGCATATGCTCAGAGAATGCAGGAGATTTATAAGCCAAAATAGAATGTAATTTGGAAGATGAAACTGCTAGGATAAATATGACATAATGCAGAGCAAACAAGTTGTAGATTACCTGTTAATTCATCTCCCAGTGGCTCAGATTGTTGAGTGTTAACAATTTATTCTCAGAAAACTATATTTTTATACTTTTACACCTTATTTATACTCACAGTTTTGTCTTTTACATTCCAGAACACAGCAGCTCCTTCCCTAATTTAAAAGAATAAAAGAATCAACGAAGTTAAAGCTAGAATACATGCTTTAGGGCCATACATAAAGCCATGCTTGGGTGACTTCTAGAATGTATCCAGAATGCAATTTAAAAATATGTGATTTATTACTGATTTGACATTATGGTTCCTAGGTGGATATGCCAAAACAAAAGCTACTCTTTGAACTCTTGAGAAAACCTGACCTCTCAATAATTCATGACTTCTCTCATGGTTTTCAGAATAAATAACTCTTTTATAATATTATGGAACGATATATCTAGACTGTTGTATACTTGCTTCAATTTTGCCGTACAAAAATCAGAAAAAGGACATTTTTGAGACTCGTCTTAGCTCTCCTACAGATTCTGCTTTAGGAGTAGAATAGAGGGCCATGCTTCATAGCTGTGGACTAAAGAGACTGAGATGAATGAAAGCCTCAGGTGGCACAGGCACCTGGGGAGTGAGGCCCCCATCCTCAGTGCTTATGGCAGAATGACAAGGAAGCCGCAGGAGCCTCGGAATCCAATTCTGGCTTTGATAGAATTTAAGGCCTAAAAGCTATAAACAACTTGTTTTGATTTCTGCAGTCTGTGTGTGGAGCTGTTTACGCAGGACATAAAAAAGGGAGTTATGCCCTGACCGGTTTGGCTCAGTGGATAGGCAATCGGCCTGCAGACTGAAGGGTCCCAGGTTCGATTCCGGTCAAGGGCATGTACCTTGGTTGCGGGCACATCCCCAGTAGGGGGTGTGCAGGAGGCAGCTGATCAATGTTTCTCGCTCATTGATGTTTCTAACTCTCTATCCCTCTCCCTTCCTCTCTGTAAAAAATCAATAAAATATATTTTAAAAAAAGGGGGGGGGGAGTTATGGCTCTGGGTTATTGCCCTGGAGGAAGGAAGGGTGGAAATGGAAGGAAGGTAAAATATCCTGACCCCCTAGCAGCCTTCAGACATTTCTTAAGCCATGCACTTAGCATCTGGGCTAAAAGATGATAGCCTAGTTCCTACCCTCACGGAATGCCCAATCTGGAAAGACTGATCCTAGACTGCCCATTTCAACAGCGTGTGACCAGTGCTCTGACAGAATTAAGCAGCATATACCTGGATGCGCACTGGACGGACACAGTTCCCAAAGGACCAGCAAGCCAGTCACAGGAGAGGAGGAGAGGAGGCAAACAGCGGAGGGCACACCCTGTGCTCAGGAGAAGGTGGGAGGGACGGGCAACCTCTCAGAACAAACAGCTAGTAGTTTGCATGCTGTGTACGTGGGCCAGTAGTGGGCAGTCAGGGTGGAGGCAGGGAGGAACTTT